ATATTCCGGAATACAGCATCGTTCCTAAATTACCACCCTTAAGGTATGTGTATAACACAGCTCTTATCAACCGCTCATCTTACCATAACCCTTAGCATAACCTTTAGAAAGCGCAACCACCACCATAACCATGACAGCAATCACTATAATTACAATCCCGATAACTAACTATAACCACAACAAAAAACATCTAGCAGCAACAAACCCACCAACTTACACTAATACCCTTACCTCAGACAAGAACAACAGCAACAGCAACAGCAGCAAAGTAGAATAGGGAAAAGTCCCTCAAATTAAACAACCCGCTGAAAGGGTGTAACCTCATCACCAACCAACACTTAATTTACACCTGGAACCCGGACGGATCTGAGTATTCACAAAACAACCCCCCTCACCACCTCGACCACCCCCTTCAACTCGCGATTCGGCCGCGTCCAATCCTCCACCTTGACCACCTCCGCCCCGGTCTCCATGAACAGATACTCCGCCGTGAGGGAACGGACCTGCCCGAAACAGAAGAACAGAGTTAGCATGGTGCTTTTACTCAGATCACCCCCCAGTAGCCCAGTAGCCTCCAAGTCACAGGCCCTCCAGAGACCAGAAGCCATCCACCACATAACCCCCCAATAACACCCCACCCAGTAAGAAGGAGAAACATACCCTCGGAAAAGGATGCAAAAGCAACCCCGTCATCTTCTTGCGAACATCCTTCTGCAGCACCGCCCCCGCAGCGGCAGGCACAACCCCAGAAACATCCCCAGCAACCCTCGACAGCGGCGCGTAGACTCTAACCGCGGCCTCCAGACGGGCCAGATTGGGGGATTTAAAGTGGGCTTTTTGGATGAGCACGAAGAGATCCTTCAGGACGTCCCTATTTATCCCCCGAAAAGAAATTATCGGACAGAGTTAGCGTTTACCGAAACTTTCGAATGTCTTTAGTAAAGGGGACATACCTCAAGCCAACACCATCTACATCCCCCAAATCCCGAAACTCGAAACCATCGAGAATAAACCCCACAAACTCCATCACGGGGATCGCGTAGCGGTCGTCCTGCAGATTCGTCGCCAGAATTCTGCTGAGGTCGGTGAGGAGGGCGAGGAGGTATTCCTGTTGCTGCAGACAGTAACTCCTGACCAGCGCTGCCCGACTAGCACGGATGAGTCCCTCGCTTCCTGCCACCGCGGAGGTCGCTAGACCCTGGAACAGGGGGATCCGCAGCCAGGGGATTTGCTGGAGACTCAGGAGTTGGAGGAAGTATTCCGCCGTCGAGACGTGGCTGAAATGGTCGTATTTGCTATCATCACCCCAAGTCAGAAACAAATCTATCATCTCCACACTCTACGGATAGAAGGGACGTACTTCAGCAGCGGGGGAAACTCCTCGGCCGTCTCCCAGAAACTCTGCAGACAAAGCCAGGCCGCGATGCGGACTTTGTCCAATTTCTCGGCCGCGAGGCGGCAGAGACAGCCTACAATATCCCGGAATCGATCTCGACTACTGCCAGAATTCTTGGGGAGGATGATCCCCGCGGCCTGGATGGCCTCGAGGCGGACCAGGGAGCCCACGTCGCCGCGGCGGTCGGTCGTGTAATCGTTCAAGAGTCTGACCAGGTGGTTCACCAGACTATCCGTGATGTCTATAGCAGTATCAAATTGTCAGCAGCTCACCCACAAACTCATATCCACACACTCGCCCACCCACACATTCGCATCCACAAACATACCAATATGCGGCAGAACACCGCTGGTCAGGCTCTTCACAGCCGAGACTCGCTTCTCGATCAGCTCTTCCTTCCCAGCACACCGGACCAAATTCTCAATCACCGACTCCCGCAGGGGACTGTCCGGCGGCAGCCGTCTGAACACCGCCCCCAACGCAGCGATCTGCCCGCGGCCGGTAGGCAGGTTCCAGGTGGTGCTGAGATGGGAGAACCACGCCTCCAGGATCCCCCTCTGCGTCTCCGACGACAGCAGAGGCCACAGCTCCGAGATGGCTTGCGAGGATGTCTCGATCGAGATATCCTCGCTCCGCGATATGCACAGCAGAAGCACCTCGCGAGCCTTGTCCAAGACGGTCGCAGACGGTGGTGGGGGCCGTGGCTCGGCTTCTGAGGACGACGTTCGCGAGAGCGAGTAGATCAGACACGCCGACGCTTCGGCAGTCAGCTCGGGCCGCCAGCTCTGCAGCGTCAGGTCATCCCTCGTCGGTCCAAGAGGCGAATCGAACACGCCCCAGACCCGATCCAACAGACCGGCGACGGCCACCGCTTCACTCCCTGTCTTCGTCTTCGCAAGCTGGTCGTAGAACGCATCGACCGTGGCGGCAATGGCCAGAAAACAACCGTGTCTCGTCTCCACTTCCCCGTGCGGAATCCCGTGGAGTCGCGCGAGCAACCGCTCCAGCACCTGCTGCATCGTCCGGTAGGAGCCCTGGGCGCTCAACCCTCCAATAGCCCGCGCCGCTTGCCGTCTCGACTCGGCGTCCGGCGAGCCGATTCCACGCCACTGCATCAAAGCCTCCACCAGCGGACTCCAGTAGTGGTGGCTCAGTGCGGCCGTGGCGCCCGCAATCTCATTCATCGCCCTCGAGCGTCGCGCGACCGCATGGTAGTCCACCACCTGGACCAGCGGGATGCCCTCCGCGATCGTGTTTGGATGACGGCCGATCAGCTCCTGCAAGGCCGCCGAGGCGCCCCGCCGGATATTGCCCGAGGGGTCCACGCAGGCCGCGCAGACCAACTCGATCGCCAGCATCTGCAAGGTGGTGGTGTTCTGCTCTTCCTGGGCACTGTGAGTACTGATGGTGGTTTGTGTCGTCAGAGCGAGGAGCTCCTGGGTGGTGTACTTCCGCGACAGCGCCCAGATGCCGAAGCACGCGGCGTCGCGGACGCCCGTGCCCACCGAGCTGCCCGTCGAGGATCGTTGCTCGAAGTCCAAGCCCGAGACGAGCGGCTGCAGCACGGCGGGCAGTTGGGTGGTGGGGGGCGCGCGGCGGAAGAGCAGGTGGCCCAGGGTGAGGACCAGGCCCTGCCATCGTTGGGCGTCCACGGCGCTCAGGTTGCGTTTGAGGCTGCTCATGCCGATGCGACGGGCCTCTAGGGGGGTCACGATGGCGCCGTCCGGCTTCTGGTACAGGATGTTCTCTTCCAGCGAGCCGGTGACCGCCTCGATGACCTCGGCCGCCATCTCCGGGTGCAGCTTGAGGGTGATGATACTCAGCGCCTTGCTGGCCGCAAAGCGAACGGGTGTGTCCTTATCCGCCAGCGAGACGAGGAAGTGATCGATGGAGTCCTCCAGGATACTCGAGACCTCATCCTCGGTCAGTGCACAGCTTGCCCGCTCGCCGGCTGCCAGCGCCATGACCGTCAGCGCGCGCAGGATCTTGATGACAATCTTCCTCGCCGACGCCGACGACCGAATGACCTGGGACACCTCCGAGGTGCCCTGCACGATGCGCAGCGTCTGCTGAAAGACGGGCATAATCAAGGGGGCAAAGTCCTCCACCTGGGCGGACGCGGCCAAGCGGGCCAGAAACGACAACAGGCCGATACACGTATAGACCGACGTAGGAGTAGTCGTAGAATCCGTGCTTCCACCAGCAGCAGCAGCAGGCAGCAACACCCCAAAAGCCCACCTCACCAGCGCCCCCAAAAGCCCCAACGCCTGCATATCCCGCCTGAGAACCAACCGCGCCAACAATACCGTGGCAGCCTCGCGCTCCTTCCCAGCCACATGCACATACTCCAATGCCAGCGAAAGCAGCGCCCTGGCCAGCCTGGGTGTTTGCTCTGTCCCTGCCCCCTCCCCCTCTTTACTCACCATCAACCCACCCACACCCACCTGCTGGAGATTCCCAAACGGCACAACCAAATCCTCCGACGACAAAAACGCCAAATCAAACGGCGCCAGCAACAAATGCGCCAACCAAATCAGCATAACATAGCGCTCCTCCCACACCATCCTCCGGGGCACATCCCACGGCCGCGCCTCATTCTGATCAGCAGCATCCGCATCCCAGGCAATGAACGCTCGCAGCAACGGATCCAGATACTTCGGCTCATTATTCAAGAACCGGCTGATGACTTTCACGCCCCGCACCTTGCAGAAGGTGTAGAGGAGGCGGCTGATCGCGCGGGGAAGCGGGTACGCGGAGTGTTGATGTACCGCAGTAGCACCGGCTCCGGCTCCGGCACCGGCTCCGGCACCAGCGTACTCCTCACGGTACTTGAGCAGGTAGGCCAGGAAGGCGTCTACCAGGGGCGGGAGGAGGGATTGCAGGTGCGGGTCCAGGAGTTGGGGCCATTCTTGGAAGGGTTCCAGCTGTTTACTCGCATTAGCTGGGCTGGTCTATGAACTCACTTTCGGCCCGAGAAAGCCGATTTTATTGCTTTGGGGGAAAGCTGGAGATCCAACTCACCAACGCAACGAGTCTCTCCGTCTTGGCCGCCGGGGTCCAGCGGCGTGGGACTCGGCTGTTGTGCTTCGGGCCGGACTTCCACAGCAAGGAGGGTAGTTTGGCGGAGAACTCCTTGACGAGGTCGCCTGAGGCGCGCTGGAGCTTGACCTCGCGGTCTTCGGCCGCGTCCATGCTGGAAGCTCGATTTTTCTTGGCCTTTGGCTTTTCAGACGATGAGAGTAGGGTTGTTGATTGAGAGTGATGGGTTACCAGTAGGTAGTTGGGGAGACCGGTGGGGGAATCGCTGGGGAGAGAGCCCGCTGCCGGTCATGTGACCTGTTCTGGATTGATGGCCCTTTCCACATGGATTCATTACTTTCTGCAACCGGGACTTGATGTTCATTTTTGATGGAATCTGAATAGAGCTTGGGTATTGTGTATCAGTAGGGTGGGATATCCTCGTGCTGGATTGTCAGTGGCTGATCGACACCGTTTGGATATATCCTGAGAAGCCCTATGCGCCCTTACAACTCGGAGATCTTGGAGACGTACTTCAACCAGAATATCCGCTACACCCCAGCTACACTTCTTAGTCAACAAAAACAAATAAGATAGAATATCCCTAAAGATACAGTCGAAATAACTATCAGACGACAACCCATCTCCCCTTCCAGATAAAGCACCAAACCAGGAATAAAACATGTAGAAGAATGAAACCCTCAGAACAACACCACTTGAGAGCGCAAACCACCCCTTGAACAGCACACCATAAGTATCAAACGCAAACTACAAATCCCGATCCGACGCCGGCTGCGCCGTATCGAAGAAAGTAAACCCGCCCAGCCCCTTCTCCGCCAACCCGATCATCGTCCGCCGCGTATGCATCACCGCAATCGCAATGGCCAGTGAGTTCCACACGTCCTGGCCCCGCTCCGACAGGTCAAACTGCGAGATGAACTTGCCATCGAAGCTGGCCTCGGCCTCCTGGGGATCCGTGCTGTGCGTCACGATCGCGACGATGGGACCGCAGATGATGAACCCCATGAGCAGCGGGAAGCTGCGCGGGGTCTCGATGGAGTCGTGGATTTGCTCCTGCGGCTCCGGCTCCGGCTCTGCGATCTGCATCGGATCCTGATCCTCCGTCTGCACCGGCGCCTCAGTCTGCGTCGGCCCCTGAGTCAGCCCGAGAGCCTTGTGGTACTTCGAGGTCAGATAGCGCAGGCGGCGGTTGAGGCGCCGCACGGCCTGGAGCGTCGTCTCGCCTTTCCTCTGCGCGTAGACCGCATACACGGGGATCGAGTCGTCAGTGGTGTGGAGATCGGCATCGAACAGCGCCCAGCGGAAGTACTGCTTGATGGCGGCCTTGATCACTTTCTCGGGTCGTTGGCCCAAGATGTCGCAGTCCCGGACGCAGCCCCCGACATTGAACAGGTTGGCTAGGGCTTTGGTGGCTGGGGACGGAATCAGCAACTCACAAGTCAACAGTCTAACGGCAGCAACACTTACCATACAGATTGGAGCTTCTGCGAACCTGAAAAAGAGGTCGGAAAGAAGGGGCCGAGGTCGGTGGATACAACGATTCCGGCAGCGTCGGGAAGTCGTGTCGCCAGAGCTGGGGCACGAGCGGCTCAAAGCCACGCATAGCGAGCCGGAAGAAAAGGTCCTGCTCTTCACTGTTGTACAGGCCTTCGGGCAGATTGATGGCCGTTGCCCAGCGCGCAGCTCGTTCAGACGAAAAGTCAAACACGATCCCCGTCTTCTCTTGGGGCTTGATGCGATACATCTCGAACTCATCAAGACTCTCGTCATTCTCGCTGTCCGAAGGCGAGTCAAACCTCTCATCCGCCGAGGGGGAATAGGTTCTTGTCCGCCTGCGCGATTTGCCCTGCGATTTCCCGCGCGACTGGCGCCGAGATCGAGATGGTTTGGGCCGCTTGTCATCCACGGCAAAGTCCTCCAGACTACCTGGATTCACAGCTGGCGACTGCTCTTCATCCACAACAAAGCCCACCCGAGCAACTGGGCTCAAGTTAGGCGACGAAGGCGTATCATCCATAGCAATATCAACCCCGTCACCATCTGGACTCAGCTCCGGCGACAAGGAACCCGGGGTACTTTGAGTTCGCAGCGGTGAACCCGCGCGAGAGCTATTCGTCGTCGGCGTACTCGGATTGCCTGCTGCCGCCGACTCGGCCAATGCATTGTGGCGGTATTCGAATCTCAACTCCGGCGCTGGGGTATCTTGTAGAGAGGAGAGGATCGACTCGTGCGATACCTCCAGCTTGAGCCTCTTGATTGCAGGACTGATGGCGTCAGCGTCCAGCGGCCTCTTGCTGACGGTCGTCTGGATTGACAATGAAGTGGTGTCCTTCTCAGCAGGCGGAGTAGGATACGTGACCCCCTCATTCTGTTCCTCAATCTTGACGGGAATCTGCAATTCCAAGCTTTTCTTCCCCCGCCGGGGCCCGGAGATGGTCTCGTGCAGGTATTTCCCCAGATGTTCGGCTTCGATCTTCATCAGGTTGGCGCCATACCGGTATTCCTCCTCTTCGTCTCGGTGGTCCTCCTTGGATGGATCGTAGTCCGGGTCTCTCTTCGCTTGCTTGGCCCTGGTGGATTTGGCCTGGACTCGTTTTCTGGCTCGAGCCATCTCGGTGAGTGCTGAGCAGAGGAAATTGTAGATGCGTCGGGTCGGGCTCGGGGTGGTGGCCTGAGTCTTATGAGTAGTAGAAGTAGCAGGTGTTACTGTCGGCGCTTCGGGGCTCACGTCTTTGTTGGTACCGTCAGTATTGGTGGCAAGATGGGGTGATCCTGACTGAATCCCCAGAGTAGAGGTCACACAGGCAACAATCCTGTCGTCGTCTGCGTCGTTGTAAGCAATTTGCGGCGATCGTAGTTCGTCCGAAGTATGTCGGGAGTCATCTGGAGTCAGACGTGGACATGGAGGCGGCAGCGAGAAGGGCAATAAATTGCGGTGGATGTCAGAAGCCATCTTGTTCTTTGTGTGTTTGGCAGTTATCGATCATCCGTTTATCCTCTTTTCTCTGTCCTTGTCCTTTGTCTGACTTGAGAAGGGTGAGTGGTGAAAGACAAAGGGAGGAGGAGGAGAAGAAGAAGAAGAAGAAGAAGAAAAAGAAGAAGGAAGAAGAGACAAATTACCAAGTATGGAGAGTAGGGGGAGGGAGGAAGGTGGTTGGAAATGGCTCAGGATTAAACAAAGACTTGTTCCTGTTGAGAGTCAAAGTCAAATGAGAGATCACCACCCTATTTCTGGCTACAAGTGATACATTCACTCCATCCTCGAGAAGGCATGGCCCGAACAAAGAGCATCCGGTGAAAGAGGTGGTTTGTACACGGCATGTTTCACCTCGAGGGAGGTATGTCAAAATCCTCAACCGGCAGCGAGTAGGCACTACTTGAGCGACAGGAAGATGAAGTAAGATTATACTTGTGTCAACCGGCGCAACACAGCTTCTATCCTCAATAAACCATTCTAACACAAGTGCAGCATCCTTCGAGTGACCGTGCCACAAAATATACCGCAATAGTCATGAGAAGAGATAGTCCCTGGAGCAGAGTTATATTCCGAGCACGTCAATTACCCCCACAAAGAAACAGAAATTAGAAGACAACCAAAGGCCTTGGGTTGCAGAGACAGAATATAATGTCGTAGAAAAAAACACCGTCGAAGCCATCAATCCATCTGCATTCACAAAAGCTATCACCACGCTTACACTGGCACTCAAAACACTTATGGGTATGTGAAAGACACCGGCGCAAACGGTGCCCAAAGACCGGCAACATCAAGAATCCGAGAAACACATCAGGCCAAAGTAGAGACAAGACAAACGCGCAATCAGCACAGGCGGTCGAGAGGTTACGCGGAGAATGTTTATGCGAAGTCGGCAGTGTAGGAGAAGCCGCGGAACTCTTCCTGCATAGCTTGAGAAAGGACTAAGAAGCGGTGTGTTAGCCTGCTGTGAAATAACCTTGCATACTGGATTGGTGCCTTACCGGACTGCACAGGCGTCAGGACAGGAGTCACACTTGTGAATTCCTGATCGAAGTTGCTGGTATCTGTCGGGCTGGTGATGGTGGGCATGAAGGGTGGTGGCACACGCTTGTGGTAGATGTCATCCCAGTTGACGTTCCTGAAGAATGCATGGGACATGACTTCTTGGGCATCGGTAGGACCCGAGCCCAATCTCAGCTCGGGCTCACGAGTAAGCAGTTTCTGCAGGATAGAGACCGAGTCGCGGGGCATGTGGATGGGATACAGCGGCTCGTCGGCGAGAATGGCGTCATAGATTTCGTCCTCATCCTCACCACGGAAGGGGGATTGCTGAAGAAGCATCTGGTAGATAAGGACACCGAATGCCCACCAATCGACAGCACGTCCGTACTTCTTATCCAGGAGAATCTGATCCAAACTGTTAGACACAATCCAAGGAGAAGCACAGACAAGAATATCTTACCTCGGGTGCCATAAATTCGGGCGTACCACAGAAGGTGCTGGTTGTTGCACCATACCACATGTTTTCCTTGCAGAGACCGTAATCCGCAATCTTGATATGGCCATCCAGAGTCAAAAGAATGTTATCAAGCTTCAAGTCACGATAGATGACACCATTCTCGTGGAAATACTTCAGCGCGAGCAAAACCTCGGAAGCATAGAACCTACGCGCACGAAAATCAGCATCCTGGCTATGGTTAAATGACGAGAATCACTTACTGTGCTCGCTTGAGACCAAACTGGCCGCGCTGAATGTGGAGCATCAGATCACCACCACTGATATATTCCATAACGAAGTACACGCGCGTCTCGGTCTGGAAACAGGCGTGGAGGTTAAGGAGGAAGGGGTGACGCTCTTTGTTGGCGATCAAGAAGACCCGCTTTTCAGACTTGGTGCTCTCGACTTCATCATTCTCGATGATGAACTCCTTCTTCAGGACCTTGATCGCATAAAGCTTCTTTGTGCTCTTGGTCTCCGCCAGCATGACCTTACCAAAGTTACCCTTACCCAAAACCGCCAGGAAGTTGAAATGATCCAGTCCGATTCTGACCTTCGGTTGTTGCTGAGGCGCCTCGGGTGCTTGCTTTTGTGCCACTGCCATACTCTGTTGCGGTGGCGGCGGCGGCTGCTGCTGCTGCTGCTGCTGAACGCCATACGGACCAGGGGCACCGACATTCTGCATCTGCTGATGTGGCACGCCTCCTCCTTCAAACATGGGATAAGCCGAAGGATCATAGCGAGCATGCTGGGGTGGCTGGGGCTGCACAGGGCGGCTTGGTTCTATAGGTAAATTGAGTTAGTTGCCGCCTAGAAGTTGATCCTCACCCTGTGAAATGAACATACCTGGCATCGCCTGGGGAGGACGAGTATTTGCCGCAGCTGCGGCGGCATGGCTTGCGAGATCGGCCGAAGCCGAGGTTCTGGGAGATGTCTGAGATGCTTGAGGGGTAGTTGGAGACTGCGGAGGCTTATATGACATAGACGCAGCGCTCACGGCATCCCGAGCGGCGGGCCGTGCTGGCTCGTACTGCTCGACAGGCTTTGACGGGTAGGCCATGGATGTATGGTCCTGCGGAGTCTGAGGAGCGCGCAAGGTGCGGTCGCTCAGGCGGCTGGTAGAGCTGACCGATGGAGACTTATTATGAACCTTTGCCCGAATAAGAGTTTCCAAGATCTGGTTAGCTGCTTCCATGGACATGCCACAGAAGTCGGGCACGAGATGAGTACAGTGGGCGTGACTCGTGAGACCACACTCTGTAGTAAAGCATCGCATGTCAGTTCCTGCCAGACTTTCGGGCCTTAGAGGGTTCACCTACCTGTACAGCGTTTTGCGTTCTTGCGTCCGAAAGGCAGCAAGTATCCACAGTGGCAACACCAGTTGGCTGAAAGGTTGGAGAAACCCTCGAAACGGTGCGGAATCCGGTGGTTGATCTTCTCTTCGTCCGGGTCCGTCTCATAGTTTGCTTTGCTGATACACTTGGTGACGACCTTGGGATAGCACTTCTTATGGCAGGTGTACTTGCAGTCAGCACACTGCATGCCGGCGGCATATTTCAGGAAATCGCCGCAAAGTGCGCAGCGCATGATGTTGTAAAACTGCTGCGTGACGAACTTGTGGCCTTGCTTCTCGTGGACCTCCTCCTTCTTCTGCCGAACAGCACCTTGACGATTGAGACCAATATCGAACGGACGTCGGTCTTTCAGTTGCTTGGCTGTGCATGATGTCAGTCCAATAGCCAGTCGCGCAATAGAGCGATTTCGAACTCACCGAAACTCATGGACAGCTGGATACGCCCAACTGGTTCCAACGCAAACCAAGAATCAATGATGACCTGGCCAGCACCCGGTGCGCCGGCCGCACCACCCTGACCACCCGGCCCTGCAGGACCCCCGGGGCCACCTTGATGAGATGCACCCATTCCTCCTGCAGTATCGGGCCGTCCGGGCTGTCCTCCATGTCCCATCTTTTCCGCAGAAACCCATCCCGATGCATTGAACTCCGTTTCGATCTTTTTCCGACGCATCTCCTCGGCAATGTCCGAAATGCGCACCCACAGCATGCCGATCGGGGTAGGCCGATCTCCAGACTTATCATATACGGTGAGTTCAATTTCGTTGGCCTTGTCAATCTCCAGGTTGAAAGTTTCATCCTGCCATCTATCTGTGCGGGTCGGCTTCGTGCGCGCTTTAATGGTATCCTCCACTTTCAGAACCACAAAAGTCTCCGGGCCGCGCGAGAATCGGGAGCTGGTGGCATGATCTACATCTTGAACGGCATGGATGCGCATGGTTAGCAGACCTGTGAGCGGCTTACGCAGGTTTGGTGTGCTTAGGCTCTCATCTGGCAGAAACGAAGGGTTAGCTACGAAACAAGGGTGAAAGATGGCGTCGGTGATTATGCGACTGACCATCAGGGCTGTCTGCTGATTCGATGTCGACGTGAAGATCCTCATATCGCTTCAGGGCCTGCTTCAGCAACTGGATCTTCTGGTTACTCTCAATCCGCCGGCCTTCAGCATCGGCACGACTCTTGCGATCTCCCTCATCCTGATACAAGCGCA